GCCAGCAGAGACTGTAGTCCTGAAAGTAGCCAATAGTAAGGTGGTTTGTTGCCAACTCGTCTCTAACTTTTATTCTCGCAAAGAACGCTGACTCTGTCCATCATGCTCTTCTGGCCCGACGCGACGTCTTCCTCGACCGAGCGCCGATTTTCTCAAAGTCGCTAGCTGTTACTTCGTTGAATTTAGCTACACGCGCCTCCACGCTATTAGCACCTTCACAACGACTTAGCATGCATTCAATTCCGTAATCAAATCTCCTTTTTAAAGAATTGAGGCGTCGCAACTGGGCTATCACCTCTGCTGTTAGTGTTACTCGGCGCGACTGTAAAAGAGCAAGAGTGCAACCGCTGTGCCCTTGTTTCACCGCCCAGAATTGTTGGCTAATCGCTCGGATAATGTTTCGGCAGTTTCATAGTTCACAATTGTGAAATATTGCCCTTACGTCTGTAGGGTTCTAGGCCAGTTAGTGTTCAACGCCGCCCTTTATAGAGCTACCATGCGCGGTAAAGACACTCCTCGGCATAGCTTTGGAATAAAAAAGCAATTAAAAAATAATAATACGGAACAATTGAACCACATGGTGGCCAATCAGGCTAGATGACGCGTAGAGAGGTCAAATTGAACGGGAAAGTCAATATGTAGGCAACCTCTCAAGCTACCCTCTTTATAAAGGCAGACGCCACTGGTGATTGGGCGTGGTGTACGAGTCAAAAAAATAATAAATATCCGCGCCGATGCCAGCTGTTTTCCTGTTTCTCTTCCCTCTCATCTTAGCTTGAAGGCGAGGTTCTCAACAATCATTTATGTTGTTTTGCGCAAAGCCAGCTTCGCCTGGTATTCTTGTCATTTGAGGGGTTTGTTTTAGCGCGTGTTCCAGGCCCGCAGGCCTGGAAACGCCAACTATACCGCCATTTTTTAACCATAACAGGAGATAGAGAGGTGGGGTGAAGCAGGTTTTTGCATGGAGTAATGCCATTTTATTTCATTCGTTTTGTTAAAAACCAAAATTTAACAGGCTCGAGGATGGTCGCCAACTTTGATAGCCCATCATTCTAGCTCTGAAAATGGGGCTAGCATCTCTGAAGGCTGTTCGCCGAGCAGCCTTTACAGATCAGTACCAACATATATTCAATCGCTCGACCGGCCGCCACCAACGTGCGGGCGACTAGGAGAAGGAGAGCCACAACTTAATGAAGGCATCTGGATCGGCGCCGACTGCGTGCAATTCCTTCAACTTTTTGTTCAAAGCATGCAAATCCCTGGTACGCTCGATTACAGAGCGACGAATTTGGTCATATACGGGGCCACCGGGTTTTCCAATTGACGGCAACCCCCCGGCCAAAACACCCTCGGCTTGGCTTTGTAAAATCCTGGCGTCTTGCTCTATCTGCTGGAAATCCTCATTCATTGACTTCATGGCAATTTCCAAGAGATACACCCAAAATCTCTGCCTAATCGAGCTAGACTCAATGATTAGCCCGTGATTACCACCTCAAAGTTGACATGCGCAAGCAGTGGCCTACCGAATGCCCTCTAGCAGCAGCACGTAGCCTGCCATGGCGTTGGCATATTCAGGCGGGAGCTTATTTAGATCGGCGCCATCCTGAACGTACGTGAAGACTTGAGTGAAAACTCCGGCCTCTGGCCATTCGCGTCGGCTTAGTTCCACCAAGTCTCGGTCCGCGCGCACCTCCATCTGGATCGACTCGTCTTTGCAATGGGCCAAGATAATATCAGCCTGCGCTATGAGATCGGTTGTATGGTGGACAAAGGCTTTGTCGTAGCTCTTGTACTTGTTGAGGTCGGGCAGCTCGCTGGAAACTCGGCAAGCAGCCCGGAATGCGCATTCAATGTCGCTTCCGCTTTCGTTTCCCATATTGTTAGATAAAAAGGGTCGGAGCACAAGAAAAGAAGCCGTGAGCTAGATGGAATGGGTTTTTAACGACAAGCTAAGTCCGCTGTGTGCGAGAATTTTTTTTTTCACTTCGTAGTCAGAACTCGGCTGAGGCGCACATGCATGTCGACCGACCAACCAATCAAGCAATCTCGGCTCTCGCTCCTCGAAGGTACGAGTCCACAGACGGCCAACCGGTCCCCTATGAAGAGCGGGTCCGTCTTGCTATTGAAGCTTGCAAGCAAGACTCAGTCGACGTCCGGAAAGCTGCAGCGTCCTACGACGTGTCTCAATGAACAACGTCTAGTCGCCTCCGCGGTGTTCCACCCCGCCGTGATGCGCAATCAAACAATCGGAGCTTAATGGCAACAGAAGAGGTTTTAGATGCTAGTAACGCTGAAGCCCAGTGAATGTGCTCATATCAATGTAACGAGAGTTAGCACTCCCAGTAGAGGAGGCAATTTAGCGTGCTAGTTATAGTGAATCGGCGCTTTTCGGTATTTTGGTGTAGGGTAGCGACACACGTGCTGAAGACGAAGCTTGGGCAACGAGCAATAGAATCGTCAGTTCTGGCTCAATACTTACTGCTCAACGTCGATACGACATGACACTAAAAAGTACAAGGACAGAGCGGCGGATGACTTGGCCTCAGCCAGCGGTCCAAGGACGCATGTCAACCCGCTGTTTTCGTAACGCTTCCAGCTCTTCATAGTCGTCGGAGGGTCTTGGCCAGCTTTTTCCAATGCATATCAAGCTACCTGAGTTGAGTCACCTTTTGAAGTCCGGCGCGGTCGGGTGGTCTGCGCGCGGCCAATCGCGCAAGGACCTTGAACAACATTTCTACGTCTGCCTAGAATTCGATATCGCTGATGTACGATATCGCATGGCTTGCGGCCAAGTACCGGCCAGGATGCAAACCCCTGCCATGAGGTAGCTGAGGGTGACCACTGTTAACTCCCAGGGCCCTGCGGGTGAAGGCAGTTTGAGAGTACAAGCGGGCACGAGCGACACTTACAAGCTCACATCGAGAGTCTTATCTCCCACCACTCGTCATCGAGCTCGTCGGCGGCGCTAGCGCACGGGTGCAACGCGAAGACGCAGCAACATGCCGCGATGCCGGCCGATCCCTATGCGACCAATATCTGCTGGTTATGGAAAAGATGGGCTACATTGTGTCGCTCCAATCTAGCTTCCGTGTAGTGCGATAGCACGATGACACACAATTAAGGTTCATGGCGTCATGGAAGGCCAGAGAGCGACATGAAGATAGCTCGCGGCGTGCCGATGGCCATTTTCACGTCAATCCTTTATCTGGTGCATCCGTTCAGCTCCCCTTTCGGCCCAGCAGCTGTCGCGCGGACTCGATATATGAGGTTGCCTCCAGGCGCGAGCAGCTTAGATGCAGCTCTACGTGTAAATTTTGCGCGGATGAAAAAGAACTATGGCATGCAAGCAGTTATCCAAGGAAGATGTCCTATACATGGCGCATCATGTATTTCTTCCACCCAAACTTCCCACCAAAGGCGACGCAGAGCCGACCCAGGATGGCGCGTTGGCAGATGCTGCGCTCAGGTCGCTTCGCCTGTTTTCGAGCACAACCACACAGAGCGCGGTGCAGACAGCCATTACCATGATGGAAAATATGACTTCTGTCCACGAAGTCGGGGCATCGTATGCAGTCCGAGAGGACAGCCTCCGGAACGCCTTGCAGCAGTTGAGCAAAAGCAGAGAAGGTAAGTCCGCAGACGTCATATGCTGAAATAGCACGAATGGAGACCCCGAATAGGCCTTCGAGCCCTCCCCCACGTGCACCGACGCGCACGACTCCCTCAGAAATGTTTCACTGCACGGTCGACACCTCACGTGTGGAAGAGGAACACCAGCATATGGCAGGTGTGGGTAGCATCCGGCAGGCGATTGAAGCAGAGCTTAGGAACAAGACTGGGCACGAAAAATGGAAATGTGCAGCGGTGGTCAAAGATGCCAGAGACCCACACAGGATCAAGGTTATCTGTCGTGATGAAAATGAGCTGCAACTCGTGAGAGAGGCAGCCGAGAAGACTGTCCCCGCGGGAACGCGAGTAATGAGAGACCAGCTCTATCCTGTCAAGGTGGATTTCGCCAATCGCATGGCCGTGCTAGACTCGGAAGGAAATGTGCTTCCTGGTGCCCTCGAGGCGCTCGGGGCAGAAAACAATGTATCGATCGCGAAGATAACATGGCTCAGCAACAAGGACTCTGGAAAAGCATACGGGTCCATGGCAGTGTATGTTACCAAAGGGAGTGATGCGAAGCGGTTGCTTGACAACCAGTTCTTCGACCTTGCGGGGGAGTCCGCCTGTACAAACGCTTTCAAACCGAGAGAGGGGCCGGTGCAATGCTACAAATGCCAGGAGCTCGGCCACAAGGCGTTTTCGTGCAAGAAGGTCCAGATGTGTGGGAAGTGTGCAGGAGCGGGGCATCACCACAGGGAGTACCAGTCACTGGAGCCGAAATGCATCCTGTGTGGCGGCCCGCATGAATCGTTGAGCCGAAACTGCCGTGTGCGGAATCTGCGAATAGATGCATAGCCTCCTTCGTATCCTGCAGCTGAATGTGAGGAAGCAACAGTCGGTACAGCTTAGCCTGATGAATGACCCGGATCTTCAAGACTACGCCGTCGTGGCGGTGACAGAGCCGTATGCGAGGAGTGTGAACGGCGTGATCATGACCAGTCCAGCTGGCCATAGCAATTGGACGAAGATGATACCCACGCGAATAGAGGACAGGTTGTGGCCGATTCGAAGCATGCTGTGGGTGCGGAGAGATATCGAGGCGGAACAGGTTCCTGTACCGTCGGCTGATCTCTCTGCGGCGGTGCTTCGGCTCGAGGACCGCGATGTGATGGTAGTGTCGGTATACGTGGAGGGAAGAGATGAAACGGCGCTGGTTGTAGCAATGAGGCAGCTGCGGAACCTGATCCACCAGTTCCGCGACAGGACAGGTCGGCGGACAGACGTGGTCTTGGCTGGTGATTTCAATCGACACGACATCCTTTGGGGAGGAGACGATGTTCCGGTGAAAAGACAGGGAGAGGCGAGACCAATAATCGAATTGATGAGCGAGAATGGCCTCTGTAGTCTCCTGCCACGAGGGACGAAGACTTGGCAGGGAAAAAAATGTAGAGAGCACCATTGATCTGGTGCTTGCGACATCGGAGATAGCAGAGGAGGTAGTGGAATGCGATATTCACACGACAGAGCATGGATCCGACCATCGAGCGATCCAGACGATATTTGATGTGGCGACCCCTGAAAGGGATGTAGCGCCTCGGCTTCTGTTGAAAAATGCGCCGTGGCCCATGATCTTGGCCAGGGTGGAGGACAATCTTCGGCCGCTGCCCTGGACGGTGGATGTGCAAACGCAGACAGACCAGTTGATGGAGGTCGTTCTGGAAGCAATTCGTGAGCTGACACCGCGAGCGCAGCCGCCGGTGTACACGAAGCGATGGTGGACGAAAGATTTGACAAGGCTGCGGCGGGCCTACACTTTCTGGCGGAATCAAGCTAGGGCGACACGGCGTGCCGGATGCCGGAAATCGGACCTAGAAACGCGTGCCAAAGAAGCGTCCAAGGAATATCACGACGCCATTCGGAAACAGAAACAAGGACACTGGGAGGACTTCCTGGCCGCGGACATTACCATCTGGAAGGCAGCTAGGTACCTGCGGCCAAGTGTGGAGGCCATGGGCGACAAAGTGCCACCGCTACGCAGAGACGACGGATCCACGACGAACGACAAGGTGGAGCAGGCGGAGGAACTCCTCAGCACATTCTTCCCGCCACTCCCAGCACACATTGAACCGGAGGGTGACCGGCCGCAAAGGGAGGCAGTGCCAATGCCGGATCTGACGTTGGAAGAGATCGAGGAGAAAGTGATGGTGGCGAAGCCTTGGAAAGCGCCAGGAGAGGATGGCCTCCCAGCGGTTGTATGGAAGCGCCTGTGGCCTGTGGTGAAGTACAGGGTCTGGGCCCTTTTCGATTCCTCGCTGCGAGACGGCGTAGTACCTCACCGATGGAGAACCGCGAAGATCATCCCGCTGAAGAAGGCTGACAAAGAAAACTACGCACTAGCCAAAGCGTGGCGGCCGATATCGCTTTTGTCTACGCTGGGCAAGATACTAGAAGCTGTGATTGCAGAACGTATGTCGTATGCGGTGGAAGCCTGCGGTCTGCTGCCAACCAACCACTTTGGGGCCAGGAGGAGGCGATCAGCCGAGCAGGCACTCGTCCTCCTGCAGGAACAGATCTACAAGGCATGGAGGAGCGGTAAGGTGCTCAGCTTGGTCAGCTTCGACGTCAAGGGTGCGTATAACGGCGTGCACAAGGAGCGGCTGCTTCAAAGGATGAGAGCGAGAGGGATGCCAGATAGGCTGATACGATGGCTGGACGCCTATTGCTCGGACCGGACGGCTACAATGGCCGTAAACGGCTTCACGTCTGAACGGCAAAAACTGTCCCAGGCCGGGCTACCGCAAGGATCATGCCTTTCGCCAGTCTCCTATTTATTTTTCAATGCGGACCTAGTGCAGCGAAAGATCGATGCAAACGGCGGCTCTATCGCTTTTGTCGATGACTATTCGGCATGGGTGACCGAACCGACGGCAGAGGCGAACCGTGCCGGTGTCCAATCGATTATAGACGAAGCGTTAGCATGGGAAAGGCGGAGCGGTGCTACTTTCGAAACGGACAAGACATCAATTATCCATTTCACCAGGACTGCAGCGCGCTCGAGCAACACGCCTTTCACGATCAAAGGAAGAGAGGTCATGGCCAAGAGTAGTGTCAAGCTGTTGGGAGTGACCATGGATGCAGGGTTGCGGTACAGGGAACACGTAGCCGCGACGGCTTCTAGCGGACTGACAGTGGCAATGTTCTTGAGAAGGCTGAAAATGGTGTCGCCTCGAGTGGCAAGGCAGCTATTCACAGCGGCAGTGGCACCAGTCATGGACTACGCCTCTACTGTGTGGATGCACGCCTGCGGCGCCAGGGAACTGGCTTGGTTAAACAGGGCGCAAATGGAAGGGGCACGGGCGATCACGGGTGCTTTCCGCGGGGTCGCGACATCGGTTGCGGAGGCCGAGGCCAGCATTCAACCAGTGCAGGAGCGTCACGCTCAAGCCGCAGCAAGACTATGGATCAATGTGCGCACGCTGCCGAAGACACACCCGCTCGCGAGGTCCAAGTTCATAGCGAAGCGTCGGTTTGTGTCGCCAATGCAGAAGATACGAATGGCACTAGAAGGAACCGACACGGATCGACTAGAGGTCATTGATGCGTATACCGTGGCACCGTGGCATGAACGGATTCAAGCCACGGGTGAAGAGGACCAAGTGGAATCGTCTAAGTCACCGGATGAAGCGGGGGGGCATTATCATTGCCACATCCTCCTCGCAGAGTGGTGACCAAGTGGGCATGGGCGGCGTTGTGCGCGACACGGCCATCAACAGTGTGGACGAGGTGGTGGCTAGCTACTCTGTCCTCCTGGGATCCAGAGACGAGCAGAACCCATACACAGCGGAATTGGCAGCCATGTCGTTTGCACTGAAGTGCATGCCGGCTGGAATGCGCGGTCGGGACATCACCATCATGACAAGCAACCGCTCAGCGGCACAGGTCGTCTGGCGGCCGCGACAACAGTCGGGCCAACGCACGATCAAGCAGATATATGACCACACGGAGCGCCTGCGGAAATAGTTTTGTTCCGTGTCGCTTATGTTTGTACCAGCGAGCGAAAAAGATTTCGCACTACGTCCCAGGGCTAAGGCAGCAGCACAAGAAGCGGTGAGGGTAACGGACGCCCCAGAGGCGCTGCCGTACCAAGCCAGGACTACGAAGATGAGACTGGCGATGTTAGAGAGAAGGCGAGACAAGGTCCTTCCCGAGAAGGTGGGAAAGTACTCGAAACGGATTGATACTGCTCTCCCAGGCAAGCATACACGTGAATTATATGATCAGTTTCAGCGCAGGGAGTCGGATGTTCTGATCCAGCTGCGCACCGGCATGTCAAGGCTTAATGGGTACCTGCACAAGATCGGAGCCGCGGCATCGGCCAAGTGCGGGTGCGGACAAGCGGCAGAGACAGTTGAGCATTTTCTGTTTCGATGCAAGAGGTGGAAGGAAGAGCGACGAATCATGCTACAGTATTCGCGCACAAAGATGGGTAACCTGTCCTTCTTTCTGGGAGGCAAAGCGACTAGCGATGGAGACAAATGGACGCCAAATATGGAAGCTGTCAAGGCGAGTGTCAAATTTGCAATGGCTACGAGAAGGTTGGAGAGGACAAACGTTCGCGAGACCAATACTACGTCTAGTACTACGTCTAGTGCGGCGTGACAGATCATGGGAACTACACTAATAACGCGCAGCCCCAAAAATGGCAGACCGGGCTTCAGCTGCTGACGATAGGATGCTGAACACTTGGAGAATTGGCCTTCAAGTAGGCCTGTCAGAGACGATAACATTGGCTGGAAATGTGTACCTGGAAATTTCGTGGGGCTTGAGGAGTAATTTTACCACACTGGATTGCGATGTAAATAGGCTGTCTACTGGGCCCTCTAGGGACCCCCCTCCGGGCGAAATAAAATCCGTATCCGTAGGGGCCGCCCACCACTCTGCGACGATTATGTAATTGAGCCAAGTATGCGTTGTGCTTTTGCACTAAAAATAAGTCTAGGGAAAATGGTGATGGATAAGAGGAACAAAGCAAAAATAAAAAAGTGGACGCTAGCTTTATTTTTGCCTAGCGGCTAGGATACCGTGTCCACGTCACAGCCACGCGTGGACGTCACAGGGCTACTGTGGCATTTGTTGGCAACCTTGTGCCTATATCAACTGGCGGGAAACCGCATATCTTGACTCCGGCATTCAAGTCAGGCAGTGAATAGCTTTTCAGATCATTGCGGCTTTCTGTTACCAACGAGTATGCAAGTCCAGGTACAAAACACAGAAAACGAGGCTGCCAGCCCGACCGTAGACCCGTTCACACCAGAAATTAGAGACTACATTGAGCATCTCGTCGAGCGCTTCCACGTGCCAAGCATATCCATTGGCATTATCCAAAGCGAGCAGATTCATCTTGCGGTACGTTTACACTCATCTTCGAACTTCAATCTTCTCTGCTAACAGTATTCGCAGTCATTTGGTGATGCACACCTGGGCCAGAACAAAGCCACGCCTGACTCGCTCTACTATATTGCCTCGCTCACAAAGTCCCAAACAGCCACCACGCTTCTCTCCGTTCTCGAGGGCCTCGACACCGGCAAGCGCCCAAAGGCCTGCCCTTCCCTTCCTGACAATATCACGCTCAAGACGAAGCTGCAGGCGCTCATCCCTGAGGATTTTGCGCTCGCGGATGAATACGCCACCGCGCACGCCACCCTCGAAGATGCGCTGGGCCATCGCCTCGGCGTAGGCGCCAACGATTCCGTCTACGGCGGTGAGGGTTACACAGTACGCGATGCTGTGAGAGCGCTGCGACATTTGCCGATGGTGGCGGAGTTGCGGGAGAAGCAGGAATATCTCAACATGGGCTACATGGTCGTTCAGCATGTAATTGAGACGCTGACGGGGAAGCCGATTGAGGAAGCACATCGCAAGTATTTATGGACTCCACTAGGGATGTGCTCGACGTATCCGTCGCTTCAAGAGGCCAAGGATTCGGGAAAGCAGTTATGCGCTGGGTACATCTTTGACCCTTTGGCAAAAAGGGTCGAGGAGACAGCACATGTGAATGACTATCCGCTCATCGGCGGCGGAGGTGTGATTTCCTCAATTCGCGATATGACAGCCTACCTATACGGTGTTATGCACGGCACGCTGCCGCTCGGGAAGGACTACCAGGAGAAGCTTCTTACGCCACTGTCTCTGGATGATTCCGGCACGCCCAAGGAGCACTGGTCCACCGGGCTGTACTGCCTTGGTTGGTCACAAAAGACGTACCGCGGACGGCGCGTCGTCTCGCATACGGGCGGCATCAATGGCTTCAATTCGGAGCTTCTTTACTTGCCGGGCACAAAATGGGGCATGGCTATTCTCTCCAACAGCAGCCAGGGATTTGCCTCATGGCAGCCGCTGAAGCTGCGCCTCCTGGACGATGTGCTGCGCGTACCGCCTGCCGAACGACAGCTCAGTCCTGAGGACGAACTCAGCGACAAGCTGGAGCGCAGTAGCGAACATCTCGCTACGGCGCGCGAGACTATCTACCCGCAGGTTCCCACACCGGCCCTTCCTCTGCCGCTGCCGCTGTCCTACTACACGGGGACTTACACCAACCCTGGCCACAAGACGCTGAAGCTCACCGTGGCGAGCCCGCGGGCGACGACGCCGGTGCGGAGTGGGGTGACGAAGGTGCTGCGGACCGAATTCACCGCGCTCGGAGATTTTGTGTACGAGATGGAGCACGTATCTGGCGATTTTTTCCTGGGATGGGAAGATTTCACTGTGCCGGCGGCGGCAGCGAGGGCGGCACGGCGCGTGCAGTTTGTGCTGGGTGCAGAGGGGACCGTGGTGAGGATGGGGATTAATTTTGCGCCGATAACGGAGACAGGTGATGATTTGAAAATGACTTGGTTTGACAAGGCGTAGATATATGCTGCGTAGATCATAAGGTGCCGACGGCGATTTCGTTGTGAGCAAGAAATCATCCTTGCTTTTGAGGGGCTGGTTCCAGACGGGCATTCTGGGTTTTGTTTGATGATGGTGCAGAAGTCTTGGTCGAGTGGTGGTGTGGTCCTCGTAATGGAGCAACTGTTTGCCAAGTCAACTGCTTCTAGATCTCGCGACTGCCCTCCTGCTGTCCCGCGACTTTTATTTATTGTCTCTTTTCTTTCTTTTGCAGCATCGCCTCTACCAAATCAAAGATCTATTGTGACGGACGAAAAAAATCTTTCAATGACCTCGACCCCGAAGACTGGGACTGAAGTATTTTATATGGAGAACGAAGCTGGTTTATGACAGCAGCTGCTCAAACAGTCGCGAGCGCCCAGTAAGCAGAGAAGCAGACGAATAAAAGAAGTTTTCTTTTTAAAAGTAGAAATGTTCTCGTTGAGAAGCCAACATTGACTATGTTTCTGGAGGCCGTAGCAATCTCATCTACGCCGGTACGAGAGCTGTGTGTAACAATGGCTTAAATCTAAGTCACAGTAGGTCTGTTTCTTAGGATCGATTGATCCATTATTTATTGATTGATTGATAATTTAACGTCAATATGGAGTAGCTCTAGGTTAAGCAATCAGACGTGCTAGCTATACTCTACGGAGAATCTTGCCGCCGTTCCGATTAGCGTGACGGGACGCGTCCAGAGGCGCGCCCACGTTCTCACAAGGGGCTCTTCGTACCGGCTTCATGACCCGATCACCCTCCTATAGCAGCAGCTGCGCGCCAATTGAGATAGAACTGCTTCTTCTCAATTGGCAGTTTTTGCTTAGGCGGCCCGTCAGCGGAGAGCTACCTGTGCTGTGTTACAGCCTTGTTGGGTCTGGGATACCGTGAGTTGCTCTGGTTGTATGTTGCGCTGCTTCCGGACGTAGGTGAGCACCCGTAGGCGCTTTGCTCGAGAGTTCCAGTAGGAGACGGGGGAGAAGCAGAGGTAGCCAGGGTGGTCCGGCACTCGGCACAGGTCTCTTTTCTCATTGTATGAAGAGTATGGCTCTTGTAGTAGAACAACGTTGTAGTCTTTTCGTATGCGAGCTGGAGGGCTGCGTGGTGTGCAGGTTCGCTGTTGTCGACGTTCGCCTGGAATAGGCGGAGTGATATGGGTCTGTTATGTCCTGGCATGAGATCGCATGCGAGTCTGCCTTGTTTTCTTCAGTGGTGACTGCTGTGCAGGTGAAGATGGTGGCGAGTGTGCGACCATTATCGTTTCACTTGAAACTTCTACAGAGTTTACCTGCACCCGCCTCAGGACAGCTGCCTTCACTGCGGACTGCTTTGCTGTGGTAACTGATGTCGCTTTTACGGCCTGGGGTTGGCTAGTGATGTTCTGTTCTGTTGATGATTGTGTGGTGGGAGGTGAAGTGGAGGAAGTGGAGGAAGTGTAGTGGATCCCTCCACTGCCTCACTTTCATTTTCCTCTCTCCCTTCTTCATCGTCTTCCTCGGCTTCTCCGTCGATTTCTATGCTTCCCTCCGAGAGATCGGATTCTTCCGAGTTGCCGACGTTGTCATCCTCCGGGATAGAGGCATGGTTTTGTGGCTCTGTTATGGTGGAGGTGGACTTTCCCGCCTCGGTCATTTCGGCGTCCGGTGCGACTTGGTCCGTTGTAGGGACTTGTGTCTTTTCAACAGATCTCTGTTGAGAACGCTCCCATCGCTCGTACGCAGCTTTGCCTTGTTGGATGGCATAGTTGCGTTCGGTTCTCGAGAGTGCTTGACAGCCATTTGCATCGTGTTTCGGGAGAGCGAAGCATTGGGGGAATCCTGTGTCATGCGGACCGTGACAACCTACGCATTTTGTAACGGCTCTGCAGCCTTCCAGGTCGTGTCTGCGGCTACCGCAGTTGCCGCAGACTTTAGGTTTCTGGCATGCTGTGTGAGTGTGGAAGAGCCAGCATGTGTCGCATAGGGTGAGGCGCGGGGGTCTATCAGACTGTAAAGAGAGACTGCCGGTGCCAAGCAGGCGAAAGCGGCTCTTGAGCGGTTGATCAAATTTCATGACTAGCGTTGTTGTGGGGGTGTCCGAGTTGGTATTGTCCCTCG